GGTTATGTATATAACCCTGGTTCTCTGAGCAGCATGAGTGAGTGTCTCACCAGACCGCCCTCCTTGCTATGGAAGCGAGGAAGAGGTGGGCTTGTTTTGAATGACATCTGACGCTATGTCAGCCTATTATATAGGGAGGCACTGGCCCCTCCTGACATGGGCGTCACCTAGCCAGCCTGTAAGGGCTGGCGTAATGGTATTTGAGCTTCTGATGAGGTCACGCAGGAGGCGTTCCCATAGTGAGACACTCACTCATGCTACTCAGAGAACCGGGGTTATATACATAACCTAACGTTTTCTCCAAGCATGACATCCCAGTGCATTTCAGACCCAGCAACACCCTCAGACAGAAACTGGTTCACCCGAAAGACAAAACTCCTAAACACAGACTTAACAACGTGGTGTATGCTGTACAGTGCAGCGAGGAATGCCCAGACCTCTACATTGGAGAGACCAAACAGCCACTTCACAAGCGCATGGCACAACACAGAAGAGCCACCTCCACAGGACAAGACTCAGCAGTCCATCTGCATCTAAAGGACAAAGGTCACTCTTTGAGGATGCCAATGTTCACATTTTGGACAGAGAGGACAGATGGTTTGAAAGAGGAGTGAAAGAAGCCATTTATGTCCACTGTGAGCGACCATCTTTGAACAGAGGCGGGGTTTACGACACCAACTGTCTGCCATCTATAATCCAGTTTTGAGTTCCTTCCCAGACGCCTTAACGCCCACTCACATCCTGGGCCATCTGACCTCAGGAAATCACATGATAGGGTGGGGCCAGGTTTCACAATGAGCTCACCCGAAAACCGGCTGATTTCAATTCAATTCAATTCAATTTATTTATATAGCGCCAAATCACAACAAAAGTCGCCTCAAGGCGCTTCATAGATACAGAGAAAAACCCAACAATCATATGACCCCCTATGAGCAAGCACTTTGGCGACAGTGGGAAGGAAAAACTCCCTTTTAACAGGAAGAAACCTCCGGCAGAACCAGGCTCAGGGAGGGGCGGCCATCTGCTGCGACCGGTTGGGGTGAGAGAAGGAAGACAGGATAAAAGACATGCTGTGGAGGAGACCACACCCGAGTATTCACACTTGGCTCAGGCGATTAGAGGATCATCAGGGGTCCTTTTGTCCCTCTTGGGGGGAAACTCCCACTGGTTTAAATCTGGGACTCTCCACCATTTGACCTTAGAACTGAAGAAGCTTCTCGGATGAGAGGTGAAACGTCTTCAAGCAACTTAAAGAAGTCCAGACGCTTTTCTTTGCAAGCTCCTTTAGACTACGATGACCTGGATGACTGAGAACCTTCACAGACATATGTCCATTAAAACAGTACTCCCAGTCATATACTCAAGGTGTGTGTGTGTGTTGGGGGGGGGGTGAAGCCACAGGCACGTCGAAAATGTAAATGACAAGATGGCGGGGGAAACAAGACAAACATCTTTTCATTTGGTGTGAACAGTTTTTGGTTTGAGATTCACAGACACTAACGTATATGTGCCTGCACTCGTGTGTGTGTGTATGAGAGTGTGTGTTAGCGCTGTACCTCTGCTTCCACTGCAGTGCCAACGATTAGCCTGCTCTGCCTATCAGAGCTGCACACAAACCTCAGAGATCTCTTTCATTTAGCAGCCGTGTGTGAGACAAAGTGGCCGTCCTGCAGTGTACCACAGCTTAACGTTAGATGGCGTTACAGACGGGACCAATGCAAGTCACACCCAACACCACACACACACCCCACACAGCACACACACCACACACACCACACACACCACACACGCACCACGCACAACACACACACCACCACACAGACACACACACACGCGCACACACACACACGACACACACACAGCACAGCGCACACACACACACACACGACACACACACACACACACACAGACACACACACACACACAGACACAAACACAACCACACACACACACACACACACACACACACACACACACACGCCGCGCGCACACACCTGCACACACACACACACACACTCACACACACACACACACACACACTCTCACACACTCTCACACTCTCACACACACACACACACACACACACACACACACACACACACACACACACACACACAGTTAGCTGCTGTGGTTTGTTTTCACTTTCACTCAGGATGACTTCATCGTTTTCTTTGTCACTGGATCGCTGCAGTAAGACTTTTCACCGCTCTGTATCAAACGCCTGTCACAGTTCATTTTAGAGCCTCATTAAACTTTCAGCAGCTGCTCTTTTGAAAAATGCAAGCGGGTTTTTTTTTCTTTACCGTGTGCGTGTGATTCGGGACGCCACATCGTACAGCTTTTCAGCACCGCATGTGTTAATGATGCGTTGATAGCAGCGCACGTTGGCATAAAATGTGTTTTTAAGTGATCCAAGATGTGCAGTAAAAGCCTCGGCGCTGGGTGGGCTGAAAACGCCACATCAACACCAACTGTACGCGACGTTAGAGCAGCTTTTTGGATAGCAGGAGCAGCAAATTCAAACTAAATGAAAACTCCTTTAAAGTAAGCAGGCTGCTTGATTTTACTTGGTCTCTCTCCAGTTACTGGCAGACAGATCCACTACACACCTTAACTACTTGTGCCTAGGTTGATATTCTCACAATCTTTCAGACATGTGGTTTTCAAACCTGCACGCAAGCCACAAAAGATAAGTCCTTAATCACCACGAATATTCATAACTGCACAAAACAGCATCTGTAGCATCTCACTGGTCAACTATTCTTTTCACTCTGTTGTCATTTAACCATTTAACTGCCCACCTGTGTTACCTGGACCTGCACCATTAAAGCATGCCATGTTTAAATATCCATTTTTACCATGATATGGACCAAATAAACATTTTAGTTTTATTTTGGATGCTTAGATGATCTCGCTTTACACACAGAAACAGTTATTTCACAAAAAACTAACAGCCCCTCCCGAGTCGGTTGTCTATCCTTCTTGCTTGATAAAGGCCTGCTGTCACTCCAGCCCATTCGTCTTAGGAGAATCTCTCAAGCTCCTCCAGATTTGATGGTCTTCTGGCATGGTCCTGTTGGTGTTCAGTTCACCCCACTGTGGGATTCTCAGTGGGATTCGAGGGCTTTGTGCAGGTCAGTCATTAACATTCACTTTGGTCTTCTGGAGATCTGGAGTTCTTTACTATGAGGACCCACATTACTTTCTTTATGATTCCTTTTACCTTGACCAGAATCCCACTCCAGAAAACATTAAAGCATCTCCACAGCATAATACTCCCACCATCATATTTCACTGTGGGGACGGTGCTCTATAGTTGTACTCCCTACTTTCTCCAAACACAAGCAACATTTCTGTGGCCAAAGAGCTCTAGTATTGTCTCATCTGACCAAAGGACATGCTTCCAATATGCATAATCTTTTTCCAGGTTCTTCAGGGCACACTTCAGCCTGGCTTGATGGTGTCTCTTCTGCAGTTTTGCTGCAACCTCACAGTCCATTCCTGCTCAGGATTCCAGTGACGGTCTCCTATGAGACTACAATTCTCGACTTGGCTAAGTCATTGCCGAGTGTCTTGGCAGTTGTTCTGGGGTGATCGGACACCTCGTTGAAATCTTTGCTTCTTACCTCTATCAGGCTCGTTCTGTATTGTGTGGCTTGATGATACTTCTTACTCCAGTTCTTGACACTTGTGATAACTCTGTATCTCCATCTTCTGCTTAGTGATCAACAATTTCTTTTTCCCGACTCTAAATATTTTTCCTTGGTTTGTGTCATGATGCTTTCACAGGTGACGGCTCAAACACTTGCAGATTTTTATATACTGTGTGTAAATTGATAGATGACCCTCAACTTGATTTTACAAGCTGAGTCTTATAAAGCACATCATTGCACAGCTCTGTTTTTCAAGTGGCTAATAATAACCAGCCTGGCCATCTTTTCCTGAAATAATTCTGTTATTGTGTGTGAATAGAAATAATTCATGCTTTCAAAAGAAAACATATGTCTAATAATGCTTCGTTAAAAATCTGTTGCTCTTTTGTAAAATGGGACTTTTTTGATACACACTTTAAATTTAATAGAGGCACTAATAATTTGTCCTCATGTGGATCCATTTATATACAATCTATGGGTAATAACATTTTGTTTTATCTGCTCTACAGCGAATAACCACTGTGAGAAATAAGCATTAAAACCGTGAAGAAGGATTTCTGCCAAACTATCACCTGGATGACATCTGACAAAGAAATAGTTTTGAGGAGGACCTTCTTCATGATTTCCACGCAGGCTGAGGGAGATTCATCCTCACAGTTCTGTAGTGAGTATGTGATTGCTGTGTGCCCTGACTCAACTGACAGAACTGATGAAGTCGGATTTAAACCCTGAGCTGAAGTTCCACGTGTCCTTTGTCAGGTGGGGCGTCATGTGAGACGGTATCTGCCCACGGGAGGACAGACACAGTTCTCATCCCATATCTAGCCTAAAGATGTCCGATCAAACAAGATTTATCAACCATTTTATCTGATGCTCTGTAGGTTTTATTCTAAAATATTAACTGCTCTTTTATTAAACTCCTCGTGATACTTGCTGCTTTGCTTTGACCGTCTCCTGTCCTGTGCAGCTTGTCCCTGTCTTGTGAGTTAGATCTTGTCCATCTGTGTTCCCCAGGTCTGACCTCTCTGCATACCGTCTGTGTCTCCCTCATTGCTGCTGCTGTGTGTTCTGTGGTCCCAGTATTTAGTGAATCCAGCAGTAAAGCTGTTTGTGAGTTTTGGATCCTGCCATGTCTCACACAGCGTTTTATGACATTACGTAGATTTTCGCTGCTCATTATATTCTCATTAAAAAATGTCCATCAGCCTAAAACAAGCTGCGTATGTCAAATTGATCCAGTTGTGTTTTCAGGATAAGAGTCAGGAAAAACAATCTTCCTCTTAGAGTGTTCAAGTTTGCCTCGTGTGTACTGTATGAGTATTTCATGTTTAAGTGTTCCTCTTGTACCTGGCAATGTGCCACTTCCTGTCCACCAGGAGATGGACATCCTCAATGCGTTGATTGTTGGCGTAGTGCAGTCTCTTTGGCAGGTGCTGCTTCAAGTACGCTTTGAAGTGCTGGTCTGCTTTCTTACACTACAAGAAAACAACACGCGCAGAGAGCTGACTGACACGTCTATTTCATGTTTCTTTCTTTGCATCATTTTTGTCTTTTACAACACTGCACATGCTTTTCTGTCTCCACACAGCTTACATGTTCCTATATTATCTTAAAAACAGCACTTACCGTTAGATTGGCCACAACAGCTTTGGGGTCATCTGAAAAACAACAATGAACAGAAGTGAAAAGCATTGCAAAGTAATAATAATCATTTTAAGTGCATACTGTGTCAGACTCCGACCCGTCCAAGGTGTGTGTCTGCCTACAAACCCCCCATCTCTTTAAGCTCTGACACGGATACAGACAGCCAGAATCGGGGTAGGATGGGAAAGATTTATGTTATATCTATATACACCTGTAACTGTCATTAACACAATTCAACATTATGACTCCATAATAAAACTCTTATTCTGATGCTTAAACTCCACAGACGAGTAACAACTGTAACTGACTGGAGTTGGGCCGTTTTAATTTCTATGCAGAGTCCACTGTTCAAACACAGGAAGGTACGGGGACAACATGTGAGAGCAAACACATCATTAGCATTAACATGGAGCCTTTTCATGCACATATACAAGCCTAAAAGCTCTCAGCCTCCACCTGCTCTCTAACTTGTTGCTCCTGCTGCCCGGTGTCACCGTCACTCTGCCAGTAAATATTGAAGAGAATTCCTTTTTTTGGGAAAATCACATAATAAACCAAATGCAGAGACATTATTTGGATACAAAGGCTTTATTTAAAAATACTGGTGGTGACCAGCGCTACCCCTCAGCCTCCAAGTAGACGCGCCTATGGTATCCTTTTGAAAATCCTACGTGACTTCTTTCTTGAGTTACTGTGTTCACAAAGTTGGTGAGAATACAAAACTATGAACTATGAAAACTCCATAAACTGTAGAAATGACTAAATACAGCGTTATCTAGCCTTTAAATGTGACAGTATGCATTTACTGGGACTCCTAAGTCTTTCATTTGTTTGGTTCTGGATTTTGTGCCTCTGTTCAGGCAGACTGGGAAACCTCTGCTGTACACACGGTAACTCCTGTTTTCACTCGGGCTTCACTCCGCTTCAGTTTTGATTTACTCCATATATCATCGAAGTCTCTTTCATTCCTTTAACTGGCAGGCGAGTGTCAGATGTTGGACGGGTGAAGCTGTAGATAAGGAATGATAAGTGAAGGAGATAGAGACGTGACTGGGAGAAAAAGCCATCCGTCTACTCTTGGAACTGGCACAGTGGCACCGGAGCTGTAGATGAGGGGAGGAGAAGTGGGTCCTCTCTGGGTGTTGGAGATGAGCCTCTGCCTGTTCCAAACTGACGTCTGGCAGCACTCTCAGGAGGGCGTGCTTCTAAGACACTGAGTCTTTTCATCATGCTTTCCAATGTGGATCTCATCCTTTGCACTCTTAGGCGAAACTGCTGCGCCCCGATGGCAACGAACTGACTCCTTCTGTCACAAAGTCGTTGGACGTAAAGTTGTTTTTGAGTCCACTCCTTTTCCTGTGCTGATGGCGACGAACAACAAGAAGTAGTGTTATTTATGTCACATGTAAAAAGGTGTCTTTTTATTATGATTTTTACAGCAGACTGGACGTTTTGATCTTGGTTTGTGAAAACTTCCATTCTTCCAACGAGGAGTAAAAAGAATGCATAAGATGAGATTGCAAACGCAAACATTTGTTTGCAATGTACAGGCTCATAGTGTCAACACCAGTCTGCTGTAGAGACGACCGACATCAGTAAGGAGAACTCCTCACAGATCCAATGAGGCCGAGTGAAAAGTTAGCCCATTAGATTCAAAGGCCTTTTACAAGCCTTGTAATTAAAGTGTCACTGTGAATGTTTGCTAGCACTATAAGGAAAGATGGTCCTGACAAACTAAAACAAAGCAAGTAAGCAAAGTAAGCAAAAGTAAGCAACAACAAGCAGTAAATGGGAAAAGAAACAAGTGCTCATTTTAACTCAGCAGTCAGAACTATTAAAACACTGCTAGAAAAAAACAAATGCACAAATTAATAAAAATAAAATAAAAAATAAAAAAACACCCAGCACGCCCTGCGGGCGGTTTATCCTTCAAGCTCGGGTCCTCTACCAGAGGCCTGGGAGCTTGAGGGTCCTGCGCAGTATCTTAGCTGTTCCCAGGACTGCGCTCTTCTGGACAGAGATCTCCGATGTTATTCCCGGGATCTGCTGGAGCCACTCGCCTAGCTTGGGAGTCACCGCACCTAGTGCTCCGATTACCACGGGGACCACCGTCACCTTCACCCTCCACATCCTCTCGAGCTCTTCTCTGAGCCCTTGGTATTTCTCCAGCTTCTCGTGTTCCTTCTTCCTGATATTGCTGTCATTCGGAACCGCTACATCGATCACTACGGCCGTCTTCTTCTGTTTGTCTACCACCACTATGTCCGGTTGGTTAGCCACCACCATTTTGTCCGTCTGTATCTGGAAGTCCCACAGGATCTTAGCTCGGTCATTCTCCACCACCCTTGGGGGCGTCTCCCATTTTGACCTCGGGACTTCCAGGTTATACTGTCATAGCTTTTCTTTGGCTGTCACTTCTTCACCCTGACCTGTCTTATTTGGCTCAGCAGAACTGAAATATATATCCTGCTGCTTTTACACACGCACTCACATAAGCTCAGCGATTCTCTGCGCGATCAACCTCTCACATGTTTAAGCTGCGGGAGATTTCACTTGTCATGTTTGCATAGTAAGCTAACGATTAATAAGACGATGTCAGAGGAATTGGTGCACAAATTATCATCACTCACAGATCAGTGCTGTCGCTCTCTATACACAGTTCGCACGATTGCAAAGTGAAAGCAAAAAAACAAGCGCAAATTCAAACGCGACTTCAATATGTCACATATTGACAGTGGCTCACCGATGCCAATGACATAATTACCCAGCTACATTTCCGAAAGAATGCAAAAGCATTGACATATATTTTTCCTACAATAGCCCGACGGGCAGGGCAGAGATAGATTTGGTAGCCCGACTGAAAAATCGCTAGCCTCCGGGACGTCGGGCTAGCGATTTGCGAGCCCTGTATCTGATTGAGGAATCACTCATCTTTGGAAAAGAGAGTTTATTACAGAGAAATGGCTCTTTCCAAAATAAAAGCTATACTATCCGCTTCTTCTGGGCTATATTCTCAGCAGCATAAGGAGAATCATGTGCTAACAGCTGTCTAAATGACTCGGCTAAAGTTAGTAGCATGCTTGTTGTTTTTGTCTTTGCACTAGGATGATGTCGGCGTAAATGTGCAGTCATATTCGTTGTGTTCCCACTAGTGCTTTCAGGTTAATCTCGTTGAAATGACCTTAACCCACAACACGGCAAATCTCCGTTAACGAGCTACCGCCGGATCGCCCGTGCATGGGGCTAGACGGCCAACACGTTAACAGAGTAACTGCGCTAACACACTAGTTCCCACCCATGTAATTGAGCATTGCGTGGCACATCCAACATACTGTTTTACTTTAGTCCATGACGCGCTTACCTTCAGGGTCATACGTCACATGAAAACCAAAATAATTCCAAACGCCAGATCTGAATGAGGGTGGGGGAGGTCCATGTTGTAAGGAGAGCTTAACTTCTGTCTCGCTAGCTTGCCCTGCGCTCTTCCTTCTGACGATGCTGTCTGTGTTGAGCGCTCAGTGGATCTGCGTCGACTAGTGCCGCCTAGTGCGGAGTAGTCGAACGACAGATTCACTGAGCGCTCAACACAGACAGCATCGTCAGAAGGAAAGTTGATAAAATAAATTACAAATTTTGTATTGTTCGATACATATGCGTACCGAACCGAAAGCACTGTATCGAACGGTTCAATATCGATACGAAGTATCGTTGCACCCCTAATATATATATATCTATATATATATATATATATGCAAACAAATTATGCTACTTTGTTCATTTGTCTATTATATAAATATATATATCACACTGAGACTGAAGGGCTTCAAAAACAAACGTCTTCAAAGGCCTCGTCTCCTTGGACGCCACAGAACCGACCGTTTGAACCAAACATGGAACATGAAAGGTGGAAAAAAAAATTTATTCTCTGATGAGAAAAAATGTAACCTTGATGGTCCTGATGGTTTCCAACGTTACAGCAGATCCCGCCTGAGATGTTTTCTACGCCCCACAGTGGAGGGGAGGCCACAATGGTCTGGGTTGTTTTTTCCTTTTGTGGAACAACGGAGCTTCAGGAGGTGCAGGGGCCTTCTTGAACCCCTAACGGTGCGTTCACACCGAACATGATAGACATCCCTAGCTGGTCGCGTGCACATTGACCAACACGAATTGGTCGCGCTTCAAAATATGCAATTTTCACGCGCGTGAAGCGGAAATGTGGGAGGAAGTAGTGCCAGACGGTATGTTTGCAAGATGGCAGCTGTTGATTGTTTGAAGAGAGAGTCTCCCTTCTCTATTTACTGTGCAGAGCAGAGCAGCGGCGTAAAGGATGTCCTTGCCATACCTGGGTCCATCAGGTCCTCCAGAGGCGTGAGCAGTTTGGTGAGCTCCAGGAGCTGCGTCTGGATGACAGCCGCTTTCAGCGGTACCACCGTCTTTCACTCGCCCAGGTTGAAGAGCTGCTTGAAAAGCTCCATATAAATCCAATCCATTATTATTAGTCCTTTATTGATATCTGTGCTAATATATGCTCATTTGAAGTCCCAGTGACGTCCCCACAACGGCTCTGAGCCACTCACAAACCTCTAAAGAGCGTTCCTGCCTTTTTAAAGTTTTCTTAATAAATGGAGCTTGCCTCCAAAATAAACTAACCTCTCTTTATTCTCTTAAATAATTGGTCTCCACTATGTTCCTATATAGTAGTTTATTTTTTCATTAGTATGATATGAAATCAATTCTACATGTTTCAAGTTGTGTGCCAGTATTTGCTGTGTAGTAGAACTGAGACATTAGTCATTACAAAACGTTATTTGAAATAATATTAAACTTCTCGGTGGAGAAAGCAGCTGGTGTCGTACAGCTCCGGGTGATTTGCTACGGCGTTGATGAGCCTTTCCTCCATATTGTTAATGGCTTTGGCTGGACCCGCCACTTTGAACTAGGTCAGAGCATCACGTCACCAGGCTCCTGATTGGTTGTCGCAGTGCGACTTGAAGCTGGAGTTCAGATTCGCGGTAGATGCGATACGCGCGAATGAACAAAATGCACCACACAAACTGCCGCGCGTATTTCTATTCGCACTTCAAACGCGTCAGTCGTGCTACTTGCTCGTTTTCGCGACGCAAATCTGCTTCTGAATTTTCGCGGGACCCCCAGTCGCGCTTCGTCGCGCTCCTCCATTGACTTTACATGTAAACCTGATGCTCTGGTCGCATCTGTCGCGTTCAGTGTGCACCGTAACACTGCCTCTCTAACCTAAAGCTTCAATTCTGGGCCCATTGTTATTTTCTTTCTGCATTCTTCCTTTAGCTCTCAACCTAATTCAATGTATTTACAGCTGTCACTTTAGGAGATATATATTGTAAGCTGGCATTCAGCTCTATATGTCTTTAACCGTCACCAGTTGGGCAGGCTGTGCACCCTACTCCATCGTTTAACCTGGATACGTGACCGGAGCTTTAGCACTGACCTCATTCTAAATGTAAACACAGCTGAGACCATGAATACAGCTCTGCTGTATCGTGAAATCATTCATCTTGCTTCTTCTTTTATTCCTCTGTGGCTAAAATCTTTCTCTCGATCCCATTTCCTTCTTTTAAGGAACATTTCTAAACTACGACACATGGTCTCCGCGGCTGAACTGGAGAAAATAATTCTTGCATTTGTGTCATCGTGCTTAGATTACTGTGATGTGCTGTTGACCTGCCCAGATAAATCATTTCTTGCACGTTTCTGAGCAATATTAAAAGCTGCAGCCAGACTATTAACACGTTCTAGTAGCAAACCTACATCACTCCTATTTTATATCCTTTACATCGGCTCCCTGAAGATTCATTATAAAATTCTTGTACTTACATATGACGCACTGAACGGCTCAAGGCTGCCCACTACACAAACTGCTGCTCGCTCTGTTTGATCACAGGCTCTCTGCAGTCTGTGGCACTAAGACTGTGGAACGGTCTCCTGTGACAGGTCAGATTAGCTGACTCTGTCCTTCGAAGCAGATCTAAACCTCCCTGTTTCAACAGGCTCTTTGTTGAGACTTGGACTGATTGGAACTTCTTACTTAACCACCTTTTACTTTTTTCTGTCTCGACTGGATGTTACCTTCATTTTCATCTTTATTTTTTCTACTTTGATGTTCAGCACTTTGTGACTCCTAGCCTGTGCAGAGTACTTTCTAAATAAACTTTACTCACTTATTCACTAAGAGAGACTGCGTACACTCCCAGTGAGATCACACGAGACACTTATTTCTCAACCACAGTTATTTTTTCATGTTTGCTGAACAAAAGTGAGAATAAGAGTGAAAAGAAGCACAACAAAGACGCCAACTTGACTTCTTACATTTCCTGTTGTTGGGCTGTCTGGAGCGTATTCTGCCTAGGGACCCAGGGACGAGGATGATGTCATCAACGCTGGTCATATAGTTACTGAGGAACTCGGTGCGATCGCAGTGGGCCTCTTCCATACCTGTGAACATGTGGGAATGTGAGCAGCTGAAGCCAAAAACCAAGTTCATGCTCCAACAGCTCATTCCAGTTTGGGTCCGGTTTCTAATCACTGGATTAAAGATTGTAAGTAAACCTGGTGGAAACTTACCTGCCCTGATTATTATTGTCACCATACATATCTCAGCTGTAGCTACGTGATATAACATTTAATGTAGGAAACTTTAGTGTGTTGGTCAGAGTGAAAGGTTAAGATCAGCTGATGTAATTGCTAGGTCCCATCAGCTGACGGCTTTTAATGTCCTCTACACGTCTAATTAGCTGTGAGCGAAATAATGTTTTGACCCCTGCTGAGTTTGTAAGTTTTGTAAACTAACATAAAAATTAGAGACTGTTCATTTCAAGTGATCAAAATTACAAATGCAGGAGAGGAACATACAATCACTTCTTCCACTTGTATAGGCTGCGCTATTTAAGCTGCTGGTCTGCAGTTGATGAGCAACTTCACCCCACTCCTCCTTTCAATCTGAATACAGCATGTACTGCTCGTTCACTGTGGCTTACACACAGCAAGCAGAAGGCAAAAGTGTTGAGTTAGTGTGTATCCACTGTTATTTCATTTCCTCACAAGAACTAATGTGAATGATTCCTGAAGAGTTCAGATCTTCGGCTGGTTATCTGTCTCAGGTGATTACATTAACTGTTTTAATGTGTATCACCTGCGTTCACTTGTCCTTCCCTGTGCGTATTTAATCTGTGTTCCTCCGTTAGCCCTGTGTCTTAGTCACTGGTAGTCACGCAACTGGAATGAAGCAATGTTATTCTGTATAAGCCGCTTCTGCTTCACAGATGCTGCTGTGCGTGCTGAACATGCCTGCAGTCCTCAAGCATGTAATACCTCCGCACACACCTGTGCTGGTGTGTGTGTGTCCGTACCGTGATCCCCGACCAGGACGATGTTGACACAGCGGTGCAGTTTCATCTGCTTGAGTCCATCCATGAGCTGGCCGATAATTCTGTCAACCATCCTCAGAGAGATGTTCAGCTAGAGCACACAGAGCGAGTCATCCTCCAAACAAACATTTTGGATGTTCCTTTACTGCATGCTTTCCACAAACATGCCACAAGACGTTTGTGCAGATACAGAGTACTTACATCAGTGCTCATGGGCCCCGTTTTGTGTCCGTATATGTCCGGCTGCTCAGAGTGCATGGCGTAAACATAAGGCCTGCAACAAAAGGTGAGTCAAAGTCGACTTCTAGTGGAAGTAACATAAAGAAATAAAGTTTCCAGAGGCTGGTTTGGACTCTTGTGATCCAGCTGCCAACATGGTGAATATCTCACATAGAAAAATAGGTTTTACTGCACCCGCTTCTCCTGAGCTGTTTAACAGGTAACAATTAGCAAAGAAATAACCAAAAAAACAACTATTTAATATACTGTTATTGGCCGGATACTGACAACAAACAGATATAACCAATGCCACCGACTGCTATGTTATTTAGGTGATGTTAAAACTTGTTGTTTCTTCATTTTTAGCTATCAGGCAAACTCACCTTCAGCCAGCATTACTCACCAGCTCGTTAAGCAGAGCAACAGAAATGAGCACTGAATGGAGAAATGACTCCAACTTTTATTTAAATGAAAAACGATTGTTTCCACACTTAGTTGAGCTTAAAGTGCTAGAACATTATATTAATGTTGGCTGATAATAACGATGTTTGCGTAGATGTTTCCTTCTTTTAGGGTCACAGGCTTTTTGGTCAAAATCTGTAACTGTAGCTCTTATTACTTAATTTAGGTTGTAACAAAGTGAGGCAAACTGGCAAGGAAAAGAAAAGAAAATGGCAAGAAGAGAGTGAAGTCATCCTGTCATCCTTTAAAGGTATCCAGGCAAATTTCAAGTTTGGGGAGGAGCTAAACAAACCATGAAACCCGTGAGCTGAAAGCCCCGGTTTCAGACTGCTTGAAAAGCTTTCCACACTTGGCACTTTATGATGTCAGCAAGAGCAGATATCCCTCAGATATACATCAGAGGACTCTTATGCACAAGTGGCAGCCAATCAGAAGAAAGCTCATTTAAAGGACTCAAAGGAGCTAAAACGGTTTGTTTTGGACATTCGATGAACTGAGGGTCCCGCTGTGGTACGTATCCACTGCATGGAGCTATTCTACTTTACATCAGTGTCACTTTCTCTGTCTCGATTAAAGAGGGAACAAGCAGTTCAAAATGTCAAAGAAAAGCAAAAGGAAGGTAAGAAGGTAAGAAGATGTAACACAATCAAACATACAGCTCACCTTTCTCCTTCAGGGAGGTGAAGCCACTGCAGCATAGTCAGTATCCTCCTCTCCAAAGGGATGGCACTGGAACACACACACACACACACACACACACACACACACACACACACAGACACACACACACACACACACTGAAGACTACGATCTACGGTGTCTGCACAGTCTCCAGCTGGCTCATCACCTGGAGCAGCTCCCTCACCTGCTGAGCACCTGTTCGCTGGAGTC